GCCAGAATGAAAGGGGTACAACTCATATCTAGTTATACTTATAAAACCCAGTGTGTGTCTGTGTTCGTTTATATATGGGATCGGATTTCCTACATTTTTCAACCGATTTCAACAAAACTTCACTTTTTTTTTGCAGGTAGTGTTATTGTCTTGCACACTTTTTTCTTTATTTTTACATTCAGAATGCTTTAAAAATTCCATTTACAAGACAATTGTTTATAATGAAATTCTATTCAATCGGTAGAGACTCATAACAATTGAAAACAATGTTTTTGTTTGAGTTTGGGTTTGACCAATTCGTAAAAAAAAAAAAAAAAAAAAACACTAATTACGACATGCATGTCCGTCAACCATAAACAATAATCTTTGTCAATTTTATTTTTCAGTCTTTATGATGGTCGATACTTGATCTATCTCTTACTTTTACATCTCCGGGCAACGCCGGGCTCTACTGCTTGTATTAAATAAAAATTAGTGATTTTAAGTGAACTCTTACATTTAATATTTGGGGATTGCTTCATTTGATTTTACAATGTCAATCTGTCTTTTTCTGTGATTTTTAAGAAGTTTCTGGCAGTAGTGAGTGCCGATTTTTCACCATTCTTCTTGGCAAGACTCACTTTCGATGATTCTTACAGGCCCTACCTTCTTTCATTTGAATTCTAGGCGCTTTTCGTCAACTGTTGGTTTTAATCTGTCCGTTTACAAATAGTTTATCGGAATTCAACATTTGATTTTGTGAAGGGAGCTCATAATACAAAATTCCCTTCCAATTTTATCAGATAGACCGCATCATATCCTTCGGATGTAGACCGTTTTTGGAGTGATGAATGATGGCTCATTTCGTTTCCTCCAGGACCTTTTTCGTTCCACATTGTTGTAAACAATCTATTTTCCATCGCGAGTAATCGTCTTCCGCCCAAATTGGTCGTTTTCGTACATGTGTCTGAGTTTCTATCTCTGTATTTTTTTTATTTTATTAATAACAACGGCCTTAATTGAGAATTCCCACGAATAAAAATTCTACCTTTAAATCTATTTTGCCTTTTTCATCTCCATCAATTTCCTTTTATCGTTTTCTATAAATCATTCTTCATTAATATTAATATGTAGGCTTCTCTTAAAACGTAACTGAATTCCGATCAAAAGAGCCATGGATCACACATATACGACAATCATAAAATAAGCGTAACGGTTGCATATAGAGACAAGTAAGTGATTCTATTTTAGAAAGGCCGAGTATCGGACAGATACCACACTTTGATCCTAAGAAGAATAGTATGAAAGACAGACGTACAGACAATTAAGATACTGGTATGGATTCTCCATGAAAAACCTGATTCCAGCTCAGAAGGTACGGGGAATGTGCAGATGCTACACTCTGAGCCTAGGAACAGAAAAATAACAGCCGTACAT